GATAGAAGTTCAAGAATTGCCTCTGCCAAACCTGGAGGTTCTTCTGGTATGTTAGTAATTTCACATTTAAAAGGATCTACAAACCAATTCACAGTTTGTACATCAAGATCTGAAAAGTAGTCATAGAACCGCTCTCTGAGTTTGGTAAGATGAAATTAGAAAAATTTCCCTATTACCCAAAAAAAAAAATTCATTTTTACTCCATATTGGGTAATTTACCCCGGTTCCCCGACTGCTGCTCTAAACAGATGGAAGAAAAAGGATGAACCTCGGATCGGTTATGTAGTTTGTATTGTTAAATGGAATGCAGAGAAGAACGCATACCAATAATTGTTGTGTGAGGTTGTATGAATGATTATAGTTTGTTAAAGGGTGGTTTTAGTTGTTAGTACAAAATTGATGATGGCCTTATATACTTTCATGCAGTTTTGAGCTATGAGGGTTTCAACAGAAGTGAGCAATTGTTGGTGTTTCGAAATGATACAAATTAGAGTCTTCGTCGCCACAGCGTTGTTAGGGCACTCAAATAGGATATGGTTAATTGTACCTATAGCTCCACACGAACAAAGGTCCGACTCATATAGTCCCATACTGAATAGATGAGATGGGGTAATAGGGAAATAAGGAATGCCCAGAACGTATTCTTGAGAGTACGGAGACTTGACTTTTTTTTATAGATGCTTAGTTCTGTGAACCATGGGGTGCTCTTCACTGTCCTATTGAGTAATTCAAAGTAAAGCCTTCCTTTGGTCTGACTGTCCAAAAGGTATTCTTCCTGCCATTCCATCATGGACGCAGTTTTTATGTTCTCAAAGAAATCAGTGTGCTGTACTTTCATATTGATGGTTTGACTAAGAGTATTTGCGACCTCGTCTGCCCTCTCATCTTTAACCATCATCATTTTTCCTCACTTAGATTGTGCATATCACAAATTCGCCAGTTTCCGCCGTGTGCTCAAAAGGAAGTTATGGTACAAATAATGCAGAACAATATTCAAACTGGGAATGGAATGAGTTTCAATATTATAAAGAAGTAAGGTGAACAACATAATAACATTTAAATGTATAAAAAGTAATTTTTTCTACACGTTTAACTTAAATTACTAAGTGTTGGAAGACTGCTGAAATCAGAGTTTAAAGAAAGATAACTGGCATGAATCAGTGAAAGCTTCGCATAATTGTAATACATATCTATATTGCTATATCCAATTATAGTAACGTCCAGAATATTTGCATGCTTAATCATAGGTTTAAGAATAAGTAGCGCCATCTAATCCATGGATTGAAACCTCCACTACAGTTCCCTGCCTTTGACAATACCGGTCTGACGTTTATTATTAAGTGATTGTTATTTGGACGAAATCGAAATCAGTTGAATTCTGTAAAAAATGGAGGATGTTCTGACAGAAATTGTGTCTTCAGAGGACTTAAAGGTAAATCTAAGAAGTTGTTATTATACAAACTGAAAATGTATCGATTTCAATTGATAATGTAAATATTTACGCATTTTTATGTGACTAATGATATGTCGATGATATCACGATAATGTTTAGGGGATTGCATAATGTTTCGTGTGTTTTACAGAAATTCGAGAAGATCTATCATGATCAGCTGTACGAGAACAATGTGACACCAAAGGCTCAGTTCGAGTACGCCTGGTGTCTGGTCAGAAGCAGATACAATGCTGACATCAAGAAGGGTATCATCTTATTGGAAGAGCTGTACAGATCACATGAAGAAGGTCAGCGTGACTACTTGTATTACCTATCGATTGGTAATGCCAGATTGAAAGACTACAGGACTGCACTGAGGTTCATCTCCTCGTTTCTGTCAATTGAGCCTGGCAATCAGCAGGTCTTGTCTTTGGAAACAGCAGTTAAGAAGAAAATGGAGAAAGAGGGTTACAAGGGTATGGCCATCACCAGTGGAGCTGTTCTTGCAGTTGGAGCAATTGTGGGACTTGTGCTGGCTGCAAGGAAATGATCCACAATCAAGTTGTAACATAGCTTCTCCTATTTTTTTTTCTTCAAGATTTTCATAATATTATTAAATGTAATATACAAAGATCTATACGGATGGAAATCTTGTAATGAATGTTGATAAAGACATATGAGAGTCACATATTTACCTGTTTTTTAGTTTGTTTATTATTTAAGAGTTTTATAATAATTTCGTTTTAGTGAGGTTTAATTTATATATATATATATTTGTTTATAAAAAGAAAGCAGCAAAATAGTAATAAAATTTGAATACCATCAAGGGTCAATACACCAGGGAGCAGTTCAATTTAAGTAAATGTTTAACTGTTAGTCAGCATTGAATCATATTTAATCATTTCCAAGTGCAGATAATCGAATTTATATAATGATTTATTCAATATTTATTGTTTTGAGTCATTGCTACTTGTATACGTTGATTAAATGGCAAAGTTATCTGTTCGTTCCAATAAATGAAAAATAATTATAAATATCAACAAGTGTTCTTTTCTTCCTAAGGTCAAACATAAACTAATGTGAAATACAGGCAACTTTCTACACAGATCAAATATAACATATGTTTTCATTGATGCAAATACATACAATTATATAAGAAATATGGGTTTATATCGCAAGCCCGACAACCGAAAGACCGTCTATTGAAATCCCGACTATGTCAAAATTCCGACTACCATAATCCCGACAATCAAAATCCCGACTACCATAAAAATGTTATTGTAGAAATTTATAATAATTAAAGACACTGTCGGGATTTTGACATAGTCGGGATTTCGAACGTCGGGATTTTGAGCCAGCCGGGATTTCGAACATCAGAAGAAATATATCCAATATTTGAAATTTTACGTCAAAAATTTGATTATTGTTTATTACTTCAAGTTTTAATTCATTTGGCTGCAACTTGTGTTCAAATAAGAAGTAATGAAAAATTACTGCTCGAAAAAGCAGGGTCTTCACATTTTAGTGATTCTCTCAGAAACTATAACAGATAGAATTGATCCAAAAGATGCATATGAAAATTGGATATTTGGGATATTCCACGTATTCAATTATAGTTTAGTAATTTTCTCAGAATCCCTAATAGATAGAATGGATTGAAAAGATGTATATGAAAGTTGGATATTTGGGGAATGTAACGAGTAATTAATTATTGCTGTGGTTTTATCCATTTGGTAATAATTAAAAAAAATAATTAATAAATAACGCTCGCAGAAGCATTATACAATGCGGGTAATCCCCTGAAGTGTTAGTTTGGTTGCATATCTCAACTATTATTTAAAGTTGTTTTCAATTTTTTGTTTAGTAAATATGTGTATTATTAGAAGTTAATACATTATTAATTTAAACCTCACAAATTAAAAATAATTTTAATGAAATAAATAATTTTATTAGCAACTTGTTTTCAATAGATATGTAAAATTCCAAGTTTGCATCTTAGTTGTACAATTAACAATTTACATGATAATCCTTTAAATAATTATTTAACCTTCGTGTGATTATATGTATAATTTAGTAGAAAGTATATGAAAGTTCTATAATTGGATTATGAAATAATTATACGATATTCAATGATTATATATAAATATGTAGAAATGTTACTTAGTAGAATGTTATTCATCAACATATTAATTAAATCCTTCTCATAATTATTTAAGTATAGGAAACTATGAACCAAATTGATATATAATTTATTTTATTCAATATTCATATACAGGTTTATAACAGAATTATAATGGTTAATAGTACGGAAATGAACAAATCAATATAATATGTAAGATTAATTAATCCTAGGTTACACATTTATATGAAAAATAGAAATGATTTTATTAGGTTTTTGGTACTCTGGTGATATAGGCAACCAAACATACGTGATACGTATAATTATTATATAACTATTACTATTTCCAATATTGTTTTCTTGTTAATTGAGGACAATGTTAAATACTTATTATATATTTCAAATTTAAACTCTATGGATCGTAATGATGTAGTAGTATTAGTAGAAAAGAAGAAAATCAGACTAAGTGTTGTAATTTATTAATTTTATTTATTTATCTGTAAATATCGATAGATTAAGATTAAAGTTAATATGTACAAAAAACACTATAATTAAATATTATTTACAATATTATAAAATGCACTTAATTTGTATTTTTCTCCATTCAAATTTATAATTATATAATTTATATAATATATATATATATACTTTATTTTTTTGTTTTCAAATATATTTTATCGTTTCCGCATTTTATATCCTGAAATATACATGTACAATAAACAAAGAAAAATAAAACTGTCAATGTACAAATCAAAGAGGGCCAAAGAGAAACATCCTAGAAGAAACCTCCGTTAAATACAATACATATTATTTTTTTTAATACATTTAGTACTCTCTTTCCTGTTCCTTCTTTTTTTTTGTCTTACATGTTACATTTTCTTTTAACTTTGTTTCATTACATTTTATCCATTATAAATTACGGTGACTAGTTTTTAATGTGTTCAGAAAACTTGTTTTTTTTTTGTCGCATTATTTACCTTACATCATTTTTATTCTTACATATTTTTTTTTCTTTCGTTTTTTTTTGCTACACAATATTCTTTTTTTTTATTCGTACGAGAGAAACAAATTATATAGTAACAAGATTATACATATCAACTGGACAGAAAAATACAATCACAACCACACAAAATAATAGCTGTACAAGAAGAAATAAAAGAGAAACGAAAAGAAGAATCTGAAGTGTGTTGAAAGTGAACGAGTTTCGAAAGGAATGCAATATTTGATATAATTATTATTATTAAATACTTCTTTTTTCTTCTCTTTATTAATAGTGTTTTTTCATTATAAAATTAAATTCAATAAATATTATACATATATTGTATATACAAATATATTTATAGAAATATTGCGTTTTCAATTTGTCTTGTTTTAGTTTTTTTTTTTAATAACTTGTATTTGTTGTTTGTTTTTCAATTTAAATTTCTCAAATCAATTGTTGTTATTCTTTATATGTACAAATGGGTTTTGGGACTTCCGGCGGTTTTCCAAGAGCACCGGAAGAACCCGAATCAGATTTCATGTATATAACCAGAAATGACTACATTTTTTTTTTCTCTTTCAAATCAAACTCAAAGAAAACAAGAAGATCAAATGAACACACTAGATATCAGTCGAAAGTTAATTTGTTTTAGCTTCTTCTAAAACTAAGAAATAAACAACTTTTACAATCATATTATTTTTTTTATAACCACATGCAGTCATTTGTTTATATATCACAATCTGTATCGTTTTCTCTTCCTCTTTTTCAGCGACGTTTTTCAAACGTCTAAAATTATTCTTATTTTTTTTTTAATTTAGTTAAAATTCGCTCCTCGTTCAAAGACAGTAGTGACAAACTATTTGCGAACGGCCTTGACCCGAGGAGCGGATAAGACAGCAAGAAAAATATAATATATTACTTAGCGGCTACTGTACAGTCTCTATATTTCGTAAAAAATCACATTTTTTTGGAATGGATTCATTTATTGCTGAGAATAAATAATGTCCTCCATGCGACGCGCACCACTACACCACCACCATTCTCTCACTGGGATGTCAGAGGGGCTCCTTCTGTATTTCTCCTTCTGTTTGTTGTTAGGTTTATTTCTTTTATTTTCATCCATTAGGGTCCTCTATAGTGGGCGTCTCTAGTGCTGATAGATCTCTCTGTGATATCGCTGGAATCCGTTCCTATTTTCGGTGTTCAAAGCTCGCAGAGAGTGGGCCCGGCAGGAGTCGCCGGTTATGTAAGTAAATCCAGAAACAGGGAGGGTTCCCGCCGCCCCCCGCGGTGCCCTCGTACGCCGCCCTTCGCCACCGTCGACACAGAATACACCCGAAGGCGGCGCGCTCAGTTCTAGCTACAATTCCGTTACCGGTATCGGTTTGATGTGCTGCTGGCCTGCGCGCATGATGTATTCGTCGTCGGAGAAGGTCTTCTGGTACTCGTGCTCCTTCCTGCTGATGGCCCTCTTGTTCCATTTGTACTCCTTGACGGCTTCCCTGACTCTCTGCCTGTACCTGAAGAGAAGCCAGCCGAGTACCGCTAGTATAATGATGGCACTTACGAAGAGGGTGACGAGGATGGCTTGTTGTCTAGGATCGCGAAACGAACATCCCAACTCATCAGCGCTCAGAGTCCTTAGAACCTTCTCCCGAAGGGGAAGAGGCGAAGCGCACTGAACCACAGTCAAATTCTTAACTGCAAGCAAGTTTCCGAGCCAGAGCATTTGACAATCGCAGTGAATCGGATTGTCCGTCAGTTCCAAAGACCTGAGCTCACCCCAGGACAACATCGATTCCGATAGACTAGTGAACCCGTTCTCCCTCAGTACCAGATGTCGCAGATTCGGCAAGCCGACAAGCGCACCCTCCTCAATGGTCTTAAGCTCTCTGTTGCTGGCCAGTACAATGCTCTCGATGTTCAGGTTGGCGTTAAAAGCTCCCTTCTTAATAGTTTGCAGATGCGTCGCACCAGTCACATCCAGTTTCCTGAGATTGCTCAGTCCCTTGAACGAGTTCTCGCCTAACACAACGAACTCGTTCTGTCCGATGGCCAAATCCTCCAAGCGCGAAAGCACAGAGATCTGCTTGGTCGGGACAATCTTAAGCTTGTTGTCACCCAGATTGAGGGTGCGTAATCCGTTCATGCCGTTGAAGGCACCATCGCTAATGTTAAGAAGACCGGCTCCACTCAGATCCAAAACACTGAGTTTTCCCAATCCGGCGAACACGTCGTCCGGCAAAAAGGTGAAGTCGTTCAAACCCACGTGCAACTCGGCCAAGCTTCCCATTACGGAAAAGGCAGGAGTCGGCACCGACGTCAACTGATTATCATCCAGATACAGCACACGCAGAGCCAGCAAACCATCAAAGGCAAGAGCATCGATTTTAGAGATCCTGTTCCTGCCCAAATTGAGCTCCTCCAGTTTCGGCAGAATCGAGAATAAGCCGCGAGGCAGCTCCAGCAGGAAGTTCTCGCGCAAATTCAGCACCGTCAGCGATTTCAATCCTTGGAACGTGCCGTTGTTCACAGCAGACAGTTTGTTGTTGTTCAGATGCAGCTCTTGGAGTTTCTCCTGATACAAGAAACTCTTCGAGGGGATGTTCACTAGGTGGTTGTTGGACAGGTCCACGTATTGGAGGTCCCTGTAGAATTGGAATGCGGCGTCGATCGTTTTGATTTTGTTGTTCCGTAGGACGAGACGCTGCACCGCGGGATTTAAGGTGATGGGCAGCACGTCCAGCTTGCTCTTCTCGCACTTGACCACGAACGTGTCGTCGTTGCATTCGCAGCCCGTGGGACACCCGATCCCGAAGGACGACGCAACCATCAGCGAACCCAGGAGGAAGATGCTGATCATCATCTTGATGGCCCACTGTAACAACAAAGAAAAAGAAAATTTAGTTCGTGTGTCATTTCGGAATCAATCAAACTAGGGGGGACGTTTGCGGAAGCAGAGAGGAGTTCCCAGAGCCAATCAACGGACGAGTGGCTTAGCGGCCCCCAGGGGGGACATTGCACAGATTGCTTTGCGGGGGGCCGGCCACCATCGCCGCCGCCGCCGCCGTCGACGAACTACATACACACGCGTCGAGTATTATAATAATATCAAATTCAACTTTCGCCTTGCGTTTTGCGGCGAACGCGAGATACGGTTTAATGCAATTCTTATGGAAGGTTCGAAGCCCGAGGGACTGACATTTGGCACCATTCCGACGTGGACCTAAATTACGCAACGGGTAAATGATATATAAATACGCAGATGGAAGAAAGAACAGCAAAAAAAAATATAAGGGGAGATGTGTATCGTTCACGAAAGCCATTCAAGCTGTATAAATGCATAAGGAAAACGCGTGTGTATAAAAATATTGTTTATAAGGGCAAAAAGGGAGTTAGGAAAGGAAAAAAAAAAAGGAGAGGAGGAAAATAGCGTAAGCCCTTGAGCGGTTTTGGTGTGTGTATGTGTATACGTTATTCAACGCAAGGAGATTTTTGCGCATTAAAGAAACCCAACTTTCCTTTCGCGCGCGATTTTTTAACTGCCATCAAAATAAAATGTTTATGTCCGTATTATTCCTACACTTTTCGCGTTCCCTTTTCCTTCTCCTGCGGCACTTTAGAGGTATTTGCCTGCGAAATGCTTCCTGATGGCGCAATTAACGCGCCGCCCTTTCGGCAATGAACAAATACACAACTTTCCCCCCATTTCTTTCTCTCTCTCTTTTACACTCCCTTACGCACGAGCTGATATTTAATAATAAATCGGTGAGAAGTTTTGCAACCCCCTTGGTACAGTCGCACCCCACAGAGGGTGCATGAAAAAACGCGATCCATAATACAACATAAATTTTCTTTGGGGTCGGATAATGAGGGCTTTTCTTCCCCTACTCTTCCGTCTGAATGAAAAGATTGGGGGAGCGGCGCTCCCTGAATGGCGAGGAGCGGCGTACGTGTGTGTATACAGGAAAATTAAAAATACATTCTGCATCCTTCAACTGCATTCAATGTTTCCTCGGTGCGCACGGAATCAAGGCCAGGTGAAGAGAAGAACCGTAGGCTGAAATCTTCCTTCCTCCTCCGTTCATCCCGAGACGCAGTCGCTCTCTTTCACTTTAGAATTCGCGATGCGATGATGATGAGTTCACTCATTACTCACATCTTTTGTTTGTTCCGTTCCCGTGGACTTGTTGAGTTCTTTTCTTCGAGTTCGAGGATAGCAAAGGAGAAAAAGAGACAGAGAGAGATACCACTGAATTATACTCTCCTGCGGGTGGAATTGCTTCAATTATACCAGCCAACTGCATGGATAATATACATGGGAGTACTGTTATGGCGTTTCCGGTCGAGTCGCTGTCTCTATGCGTGCAACTAAATAATGCGCATAGTCTGCTTTCTGAGAGCTCGTTTATAGGAATCCAATTCACAAGTGGTAATAACCGACTGAACGAAATCATACTGTATTACTCTATTCTTCATCCGCTCCACGAGCGCCGCAATCCCGCGAGGGACGTTTTCATTCGGTCGTCGTTACATCAAAACGCAACAAAAGCCTCTAATTTACGACGCACGGGGCATAATTGATAAGTCCTCGTTAAAGACACTATTTATACCACTTTCTGGGACAATCCGCGGAAGTCGGGGATTACTGTTCATCAACCCGACGAATTAGTTGAATTGAGGATAATTCCAGTTTTCCACTCAGAAATTCGACATCTACAAGAGCAAATCTCCTCCGTCTTTCGTCCTTGAACCCTTTCGAAAAGCTCACCGTGATAAATGCATTGCATTTACTCGAGTGCATTCGTGTGTGAAAATGTGAAAAGGTTCTTTTTTTTTTTTTGGTATGGAAATAAATCAATGGGGCAACCTTTGAGCCATTGTGAATGGAACTAAGCCTGGTGCGGCGATTGGCCATTGTTGCGTAATTAGTCGGGCCACCAATTGGTCCAGTCCGTTGGCCAACTGCAGCTCTTTTTTTAAATTTTTAAATGTCATTGTACTAAAAACACAAAAGCACCACAAACTATCAATGTTTATTTTGATTTTCCTTATTCGATAACACATATTTATCAATATTAAGTCGACATTCTTCTATACATTAATGCTTTAGAACAAGTTGAAAGTCCATCAGTCTAATTTTATTATACTAATAGCATGAGTATTTCAAATATAATGGCTAAAAGTAATTATATTAATTATGTAACGGAAAGAGACATTAAATGGGAGAAACTTGTGGAATCCAGTGGCTTCTTAATTTCGGGCGTCACTGCTGACTCGCATTAGCATATCTCGCGGAACGCAGAAAGGGCCGGACACGGATAGCGATCCCTTTGCATGTCTGCCCCCAATATTATTATTATCATCACCAAATCCCCCTTGTAAAACAGCCAAAGGGAATTGGGCTGGGTTGAGGGTAAAAATGCAAATAAATTTCAACAATTATCTTTAACCGCTCCCATATTTAACAACAATTATGACAGTCGCCTAGGCAACGAACACCCCCCTATACCACCCTTCATGACAAAAGGCTCATCAGTCAACGTTACTTTATGCCAAAAGCATTTTGCAACCACCTCTCTCACCCCCCTTCAACCAACTGAATAATTGCACATTAACAAGATAATTTCGGCGCACGGAATTCCAGTTGGCAAATTTTGGAGAACGTTCGTGTCGTTTCGGTTGGAAATTAATTCGAAACTATTTATTCGTTTCGTGTATTCGAATTATACCGAGCGCTAATTTAATATACAACAGCGCATTGTTTGAATTCGGTGACCTTTGATTTTATTTATTTATTTATTTATTTTTTGTTACTTTCTGACCGACTTGAATAATATAACCCGGTTTTGAATTTCCGTAACGCATTCATCTGTCGCATATGTTCGTACATTTAAACAGCACACCATGTGATGCTAATATAATCGGAATAACAGTTCACAAAATGCATTCGCTAAAATCCAACTGACGCGTAACGTTTGATAGATGGATTAAAACAAACGCGTAATAATGGCGATGACAGATGCAGTCCATATTTGACAGGTTATGACAGTTAAGCAATGATTGGTGGAGATTGGTGATCAATAAATATTTAGTAATATAGAATTAAAAATAATTTAATGAGATTATGAAAGCGTTGAAATTTCCGTGACTTAATTAAAAAAAAAACTGATAGGAAACGGGCTTTGTTGGATTAAATGATGTGATTAGGAAATTGCGTGCGCGATTGACATCGCCCATAAAACAATTGTACTTTCGACATATTTTTTTTTTCCTTTACTCTCGCAATAATAACATTATTGTAATTTCTTGGGTTTCGTGCTTGCGCCAATTCCCTCCGCAAAAGATCCAAGATAAAACTGCAAAGCAACTTCGCAGTGTGTTTTTCTTTGATATATAATTAAATTTAACATTTAGATATTTTTTTGAATTTCGCGCGCTCGTGGAATAATTGGGAAACCGAAAATTGAGTAATCAATTTAACAATGTTTCGATGCAAATGCGAAACAGCGGAAGTTTATAAATTAAATGGGAAAAAAGCTATTATTTCAAGTTTATGATTTCTTTGGAAATGCACTTAAAGTAAGGGAATTTGTTTGGTTTCTTCCCTGATTTAGGAGCTTAGGACTAGTCAAAACATTTTTAAGTTAAGAAGGGTTTCTAATTTCGTTGCGTTTATTTCTTTTTTGCGGAAACCGAATTGGAGGTGCGCGCTTATGAGTATATAAATATTATGCCGACGATCCAGAAATATTCAGGAACGTTCCCGAAATACTCTTGCTTATTATAACTTTATTATTCACCGCTAAATGTATGCTCGAGTAGCGAAAACGAAATACTTGTTGGATCTCTTAGATCCTCCTTTATTTGGAAGGGGTGCAGTTTAAGGCTAAATATATAGAGAAGGCTTCTGGTGAATGTTTTCGTCGTGCTTGTTTCTTCGTTTCGTTTTTTTTCTTCGTGTAACAGAATTTCTTTCGCTTTTGGGATGTTTCCTCACGGGCACTTAAAGCAGAAATATTTGTTTCGAGCGGCGTTAAGTTAGGTAAGCCAGTCACTAAATATAGTTGGGAAATGTTTAGCATCTGGGTAATTGGTCTGAAAGTCGCCAGGAAATCGCTCGTCACATTAGTTTTTGGATAGGGAAAAAAAGTGGAAAAGAGGGGTTGCTTTTTGTTCTTCGGTCGGTTGAAGGAAGGCATGAAATAAATAACAATAACTGCACGTGCGTGCGTAAAGGGCGCGTGTAATAATCGGTGTATAGGGACCCGGGGTTTCATTACCGGAAGAACGGTGAAGTATAAGAACAAATAGCGAAAGGGGGAATCCCCTCGGTGAGACCGGAAAGTCCAGGGCGGAGCGGGAGTATTACTGCGACCCTCCCCGTCCAGAGAGACCCTGAAAACACTTAACACGCAAATTCCGGGCGTCTCGTGAACGACTTACTCAATCTGGAGAGAGGAGAGAAAAGAAGAAGTGAAAAACACGAAAGAGCGAAAGACAGACGGACACACACAGCCTTGGTTTTTCGAGCCACGAATTACGTGAGCGTTGCGCAACCGATCGACGGTGATATATCTCAGGATATTTATTTATATTTTGTTTCGTTGTTGTAACATTTCATCGGGCTAAAAGTTTGCACGTGGGTCGCGCTTTCCAACCCACCCGATGCCCAGATATTCCGATTGCGCAACGCGAAATTAGTCATTAGAACTCGCGCCTTCTTAAATGCCGTTGGAGATAAGCTCCAATCCTGGATGAATCGTGCAGATTGAGCATAGGTTTGCACGGAATGAACGAATTAACATCATAATTACGAAGGGTCAGGATCAATATTGACACCTCGTGCTCCTCGAGAGAAAAGATAAATATTTACTT